GTGTGTGTGTGTGTTTCTGACCCTTTAAATTAGCTTCAGGCTCACTCCACCAGTTTAACTGCTCTGGAGCGACTGTCGACTGTGAGCGTCAGACTGTCTCTCTTCCACCAGACTTCATTCAAAAAGTGGTCGTTTTAAGATTTTACTCAGTGAGCTTTCGTGTGCGGCTTTCCTCGTCTTCAGACCTGTTTGGTTCTATATTTATTGTTCCTTGTGGTGGGAGCGAGCCTTGATGCTTGCTGACAGTAAACACAGCGGCTGATACTGAATACTGAGAGTTCCTTCTTGTTACTGTAAACACCTGGCGTTTAACCACACACACACACACACACCACACACACACACACACAAACACACACACACACACACTCCTCAGACGACTCACTCGCTCCCTTTATCGCTGTCCTTTATCCGATCACTCTCTTTCTATACGTTGTAGTAAACTGAATCTTGTGACTGTCGCACACAAACTGAGTTTTGTTGTTTTCTGACGTTTAATAAAAGGATAATATGAGCCGCAGTAATACTCAGTAAACTGCTCGCTGAAGATAAACAACAACAAGGCTCAAACATTTACCGCTGCGTCCATTTTAAACTGGGAAAAGTTAAAAACATGAATGAATACTTTATTTAGTCCAGAAAATTCAGTTTGAGTGTGACCGAACTGTAAAACGGTATTGATTTACTGTTTTGTTTACTCTAACAGAGTATTTACAGTATGCATATACCACTGTGTGTGTGTGTGTGTGTGTATAATACCGAGTGTCAACAAACTGAATCCAGGAGGGTCGGGGTCAAAGGTCAGACAGGTGAGGGTTTATTCCAGGTCAGAGGTCTACTGCTGATCTTTGAACGCGTCCAGGCCGAAGGCGTTGTCCAATAAACGCTTCAGCTCCGTCAGGTGAGTGTTTTTGTTTCCTGTAGCCGGAGCCGCCGCCGGGTCTCTACCAGCGTACCTGAGACACACAGAGAGGTCAGAGGTCAGAGGTCAGAGCACACTGAACTGACACATGGTGAAGATGATGATGATGAAGAAGAAGAGCTTTACCAGACAGGCTTGGCTCTCTGGATCGTGGTCCTGATGCGAGGCTTCACGTAGTCGTAGTAACCCTGATTCTTGTGCTCCTCCTGACACCAGACCAGGTCGGCGTTGGAGAAACGCTCCGACTCCGCCTTCACCTGGTCGAACGGGAACGGAGACAACTGGAGGGAGAGAGAGAGAGAGAGAGACAGAGAGACAGGGAGAGAGAGAGAGACAGGGAGAG